AATAGACCCTAGATTCTGTTGGCTTGTAAATAGGTTCGCATAATTCTTTGATCACTGATACGTCTCTTTTATTTTCATGTTTTATTCTTTTTAATGGATTCATATTTTCTTGTGTAGATGTAGTTGCCTTACCTGAATTACACTCTTCGGAGTCTAAAAATGCAACAGTATATTGCGGATATTCAGTAAATTAAATCTCCACCAACATAGAGCTTCTTAAAATGACATTGGAAAAGAAAAGAGCCAATCAGCTTCAGTGCTCACGCGGATTGGCTAACGAGAAGCATCAGGCTTTCTCCAATAGGTCCTTTACACAGACCTCGTGACAACTGGTTACTGGGCTGCTTAGCAATAAATGCATTTAATAAACTTTAAAGCCTGGGTGTATCTTTTTAAATGTTAAAATACCATTAAAATAAGTCGTGCTGATTTCCTTACAAAAACATGAAAACCCTGACTCGGTGGCACTATCATCTGTGTTTGAGCTTCAAGAACACCACATAGCAACATTGCTTCAATTGACTTTTGGGCGTGGGCCTACGTTAGCGAAGAAACTTTTTGTGTAACGTTCTGTGTGCAATTCCTTTCGGTGACACAAGGCGTGCGAGCCAGCTATCAGGTCACCGAGGTCTATAGGTCCGGAGTCGGACCTTGGTCATTTTTTTTATATTCAAAAATAAAAATTCAAGTTTTCTGAATAATTAATTAGCCGTTTAACACATCATATGTTTGCAATTCATGTCACTGCGAGAAGCTAGCGCAGGTAACGCGGCTTGAGCGCGTATTGTGAGCTGAGCGAGGGCGCGGGTGCAGCCTCCGTGTTGTCAGATTCACCTATTATACGTCTTTTGGACTCGTTTTTACCATTTATTGTGACACTTTAGGACGTTAAAAAAGTGGGAATTTGCATGTTAGGGTTAGTGATATATTAATCTTATTTCTAAACACAAGCTTTAAACTTATTTCGGATTATTATTGTATGTTTGTTTGTTTTTCGTAGTAATATCTGGCAACATTGTAGGCTACAACAGGTGTTCTGACGATTCATGCTACCCAGAGATGCTACCCATCGAATTTGCTACTTAGTGGTTATGCGCATGTGCAGACTCAGTTTTTTTCTTTTAACAAAAGGTACATTTGTTATAATGTAATTTCCCTTTTAAAAAAATGTTAACTACCATATGAATATTTGTACGGTCAGCCAGCTGAACAAGGTTAAGTTTCAGCTAAGGAAAGGTGTGCTTTGACAAGTCAAAGATGAATATTTGATGATCATTTGAGTGGGTCGCGGAGTGTGCAGTCAAAGAAACAATCAACTTTTTATTCAAGACACAAAGGTCCATAGAGACAACACCGTACAGATATATATAAAATAAATAACAATACAAACAGTAAAACATGATGCGGAAGTGGCATCATTTATAAAAACATATACAGGCTTCGGGTCCAATGTTTCCAAAAGCAAGATGTATACCTTGTGTCAACAAACGTAATTCTGTTTTTCTGACACTAGACTTTTATTTTGAAAGACGTGCGTGAAAGCGGTTGACTCTTCTATCACATCAGTGCCTGAGAAAAACGCGTTGTCCTCATTCAGTATCTACTACGGTCAGATGCAGTGGCGGTTCTAGAGGGGGGGCCAGGGGGGCCAGTGCCCCTGTGACAAAAAGCTTGGCCCCCCTTGTGGCCCCCCTAAATGTGGAGTTTGAAATAATTTTTACAAAACTGTTTTTTGCTATCGTTGTATGTGTATTATTTTTTTATTTTTCTATCTTTGTGGATTTGCATTTTCACGTGACAATTCGCATCACATTCGCGGGAATCGCGGCAGAATGTTTGAAGAGGTGAGTGCGCGCGCGCGGCCGGGGCGCTCTCTCTCTCTCTCTGCTCGTTATGCACTGTCAAGCGCAGCAAGCGGGCGCTCTGACGGGTTTTAGAAGATAAAATACAACCCGAAACTAAAAACAGACCCGGCTTCTATTTGAGACCGGCCTTTATGTACCCAAACCTGTCGCCACACCAGGCGTGTAAAAGAGACAGGCGTCTATTCGGGACTCGGCTATTATTTGAAGTTTCACGGTATGTACGAGGCACTGTGAGCTGACATAGCATTTGTCTATCGTCCTTTCACTGCTGTGTGCAGTTCATAGGTAGGCTATGTCCCCAAATTAGTTTTTGTCTTATATTTATATCATATTATGTTCTTATATTAGAATATCACATCAGCAAGAGTGCCGTTTTCCCGTGCACAATTGCAACTGTGATATTTATGTTATACAACAGTTAAATTAACAATAAGTTAACATTGGGAGTTACTTTTTAGACACAATATTGTCAATATTGTTTGTTTTCCCTTTATTTCGCCGACTAGAATTTCATAATGAAACCGTAGTGAGTCTCAATGCAACACAGCGATGATTTCTTGACTGAAATCCGCGTTTTGAACGAATCACTTGCTTCTTTCCCGAATAAATCGGCCGTTTGAACAAATCGTTTGAATGAATGAATCCCTCTTACAGGGACTTGCCGCCGCCTACTGGCGGTTTTAGTTTCATATTTAAAGTATCCTTTAATTAAAACGTTAAACTTAGAAATAATTTCATATTTAAATATTGATTTGAAAAAAATCTCATAGCTTTATTTATGCAATTGTAAATGGAGTGTAAATATATTAATGCCACTTCTGTGTCACCTCTGCACTGCAAAGATGGATTTTGATTGAATTAATTAATTTGACTGGTAACAGTGGTACTGTATAATTATTGTATAATTAAGTATTATTGTATAAATAAGTATAATTACTGTATAATTTGAATGTTAGTATTTGACATAAAAGGTGATGCATAACTCTAAATAAGTTTAGAAAAAATGTCCATATATAGGTGAAAATGCCCCTGGAAATCAATTTAAGGTGGCAAATATTGCCCCTTAATTAAAAAATGTATTTCTGTCACTGCTGTGAATCGACCACTGCATAGAATATGAAAAATAGGAATATCTTCGTGAGTCAGCTGTCAACAACAGGCCTAAACCAGCCATGGCACCAGCACAAAAACACAATCAGTAAAATATTATCTAATTATTAACAAAATGTTGAAAATGTTGAAATATATTTTTGTCAATATTGCACACCTCTAATGTACGGTATTAATTTTGATTTCTTTAGGTCTTAAAAAGCCTTAAATTGGACTCTAAAAAGTGTGCAGGAACCCTGTAAACGGTTAGACATATCAAGTCAGTTATTTTCAGTAAATGAATTAATAAGCTTCTTGGTCCCCATTGCTTTTGCTCTATAGTTCTCAAAATGAAGAGAAAGAAGGACATCATGTCTATTACAGTTACTGTGACTAATACTGAATATGTAATGCAAATGTAAAAATATAATGGAAATGCAAATACATTGTTGAATGATTATAAACACGGTATTTTCCCTGTTAATGCCTGCAGCAGTGCAGAAAATGATATGACAACAATAAGGTCTAAATGTAACTGGCCCCTCTAACAGTACAACTGGCCCCAGCTTGGCCCCCCCAGTTGAAATGGGCTAGAACCGCCACTGGTCAGATGAGATGTTGTCAAGGTTTGTGTCATTATTCTAACGTTATTTTTTTTTACTTGTTGCGAAATAAAAAGTCTCTCACCTGAAAAAAAGTGAACTTTTCTGTCCTGTCAGTCACTGTGCTCGTTGCGCGCCATGGTTGCGCGCCCTCTTCAATTACACGCGCAATGCGGCAGCGCGCTCTATTTCACTTCATTATAAATAAAGCGCAAAAGAAATACAAGCATGATGCAACATCGTAGTTAATGTCAATTAGTAAGTCATTAAATTACCAAAAAGTGCCAATAAATTACGCAACTTACTTCAAATGTTATCTGGGAATGATTTATGCAGGTGTATGTCCATTCAATTCATCAGGATCAGTGGTCATGTTCATTAACAGCTCATGTTAGTTTTGTTTATTTACCGTGGTAACTGTTGTTTCCTTAACCCCAAAATGCCACTTTATTTTCACTGTGTTTTTGTACTATATATCTCTAAATGACTGGTCTCACATACCAACTTTGTATTAGCAAAAGCTATTTTTGAACTGCTATTTAATAGTCTTACATTATACTCTTTATTCATCATCAGTATGTGTTATATTCTTATATACATATAGGTCAAATTCCTAAAAAAAAAGGTCGCAGCTTAATGCGTCCATGGGAAAATGTTGGTCCAATGGCCTAAGCCTAAGCAGTTGAGAACCACTGCATTAGAGCATAAAGTTATTATTACTTATCCATAAAGCAATGTTTATTATGGAAATCTATTACAGTTTATTAATAAAATTAAACAGTTTTATTTATCTATTGATTTATTAATCAGTATTGTTACATAACAAATTGTGATGCAATAAAGAAGGTATCATTTAACAATGTTTATCCTCCAAAACAGAAAGGAGAGAGTGTAGAATGGCAAAAAGGTTCCGGCAAAATACGTTAGATGTAAATTTAATTAAAAAAATGTAATTTAAGATGTAATGTAATGTAATTTAAGATGTAATCTAATGTAATTTAAGATGTAATTTAAAAAAAGGCCTAAACTGAAAGATCAGGAAGACGAATATGAGGACAAAGAGGAGAGCAACAGAGAGGAAGAGGAGAGATCAGAAGGACACAAAAGAGCAACAGAGAGGAGGATAGATCAAAACATCTACATGTCTGTCTATTTGAAAGTTTAGGCTATATGTAGTGTATAATGAGTTGCATTTGTGCGTTATAGCACAAATCTTAACACCTCACCCCGGACCTCACTAATTTTCAAACCCGGGTTACGACCACGTGCAAATTATGTGCAAAATACATCAAAATACAAAAAAGCATTTTCCTTTTTATTTTTATTTTGCAATGTTTTAATGAGAGGTTAAACTATTTTAATCTATTATTGAATATTGAAAACTTATACTTTCCTATTGTTATGCTCGAATCAAATCCATATGAATAGGCTATGTTACAGCCTATTTATTATCCAACATCACTGCCAAAAGTAACTGGGGACAGCGAGGACACCCTAGAGTGGGACGAGGAGCTACGCAGATAGCTTTCATATGCCTCAGTAACACGACTGCAGAACTGAGTATACGATCATTTACAGCCTGCATTGTCAAGATATCAAGGACGAATCAACCCGACGTTGGTAATGAAATGTTCCTCAGACAGAATAAATCCTTTCGTCATTCAACACGATGTGCTATTCATTTCCTGCGACTGCAGTGGATTTGATAGAGCAGTGGTGTGCCATTCCCGGACTAGTGGTACAGTAAGTGTGTCTGCCTTGCATCTGCTCTTTCGGGTCCGCATCTTTTGTGGACACTAACAACTTAAGATGTGCTTCGTCATTTAATTAGCCATGATGTTTGCCTGTGTTATTAATTGTTTATCTATATAATTATTTTATTACTTATTCTATATAAGTGTGCACCAGATTATAAAAATGAGCTGGGAATTGGTTTAGAGCTGAATATATCATTGTTTACTGCTTTTTCTATATTCCCCTTCCATGCAGGTTTAATCCCTATTTTGGCATCTGTCGTACACAAGATGAGCCGCTTACGGTACAAAGCAGCGACTGTCAGATGGAACTTTTCTGTCGCGCGCTGTGACCAGCAGCCACGCATCTGTCGCGTGCGTTTGTTGCTGCTGTGTTTGTGCCTGCTGGTGGCAATGACATTAACACTGGCATTATTACTATCGAACCACCAACCGATGGAGTATGACCTCCCCAGACCTCCCGACCTGTTCAAAGACAAGGTAGGAGGACTACAGACATTTTTTCATTTCTTTTCTTGTGCACTGTTCAATCATTTCTCTAGAATACAACCCTGTTGGGAAATCCATCTTTAACTTGTAGCTGTGTTTTGGAACATGACTTTTTTTTTTTTTAGCTGGTAAAAGTTTATTTTTTTAGCTTAAAAGTTAAGCAAAGTTCAAGTATATTTTAAGTATACTTTACAAGAGTCCATTGACGTTACAATAGTATGAATGTTTGAAAAAAACATTCGATCATACATTTACAAGAAAAATTAAGAAGAAAACGTCTCGGTTACTAACGTAACCTCGGTTCCCTGAGAGTAGGGAACGAGTACTGCGTAAGTAGCTTACGCTATGGGAAAACTCCTTTTCTCGAGAATAGGCCTACTGAAACCAAATTTTTAAAACGCAGTGCAGCTGCACAGCAGACATACAGACGCACATTGGCTGTGCCGCAGCAACTGCACGAACCCATGGTGAAGCGGGACGCGCGAACCAATCAGGTCGCTTCACGCCCGGGCACGTCAGAACCCGCCAGAATGGCCGTGGCTTATAGCTATATAAGCACCCATTTTGCCGAAATCAGGTTTAATAGACTTAAGTGATCCCCTGATCTAAGCACAGTAGCTCGGCGGGTTACGCAATACTCGTTCCCTACTCTCAGGGAACCGAGGTTACGTAAGTAGCTTACGCTATGGGAACCCCTTTCAAAACGCCGTGCGTGCTTATAAACTTCGCCCCATACTATCGCCTAGGGCAAGCGCCCAAGGCTCATAGAAGAGCAAAGTTAAGAGTCCTAATAGAGGCCAAATGAGGCCCAGCCGGCTGCCACTTAGATATCTTCAATTGGTATTCCACGCAACCATGCCCATGACGAGGCCATGCCTCTGGTGGAATGAGCTCCGACGCCTATGGGACAACGGAGGCCCTTAGTCTCATAAGCCAGCGATAGCATCTATTATCCATCGTGATAATCTCTGCTTCGTGACCGCAAGCCCTTTGGAGCGGCCGCCGAAGCATACGAAGAGCTGTTCTGACTGCCTGAACGGGGCAGAATGTTCTAAATATATTCTGAGAGCCCTGATAGGGCAGATCAGATTCGCGTCTCTCTCGTCCTCTGATTGGGGCAGAGCTGACAGCGAAATAACCTACGTTCTGAACGGAGTGGAGAGCACTTTAGGAACATACCCATGCCTTGGCTTAAGGACGACTCTGGAGTCATTGGGCCCGAATTCAAGGCAGGAAGCACTCACTGAGAGTGCTTGCAAATCCCCTACTCGCTTGACTGACACTTTCCTTTTTGAAATCACGCCCATATCCACGCCGGACTGGTACCAGCCGGCTGCTTTCCAAGGAGCCAGGGCTCTGACACAGCCGTGGTTCAATTTGATGCGTAAGTGGCCAGTTCGCCACGAGTGAGCCGGTACACAGGTTTTAACCAGCGTTGGAGAGGACGCATATACAGTAGACCCAACTGGGCCTCTTTGTGATAGGGACCTGGCAGCCCAGCTGTTTTGTGCTTGTGATACTGTGTGAACAGTGCTTAATATGTGCAGGGGTGCGTACTTTACAGTGGGCACACAACCCACATTTGGAACACCTCCAGCGTGAGCCGGAGGGGGAACAGAAAGAAAAGTGCTCGCTCTGTGTTTTATTTGGGTCGCCGTAAAAACTAAACTAACTGGGCCTGAACTAAAGAGGGGATTGGGAGACGTGTGAAAGGCTTTTTGGAGGGTGGTCCGGCTGCGGCGGGACTCAACCACTCTCTTTTCCTTCCTGTCACAGGACTAGGAAGGCTTTCGAGGCTCGGGGTCCAACACAATCTGGGGTCGGGGTCCCTGACGCTCAGGAAACTGATGTCGTCTCATAGAACGAGAGCGGTGGTGGACTTCAGCCGTTGGGCGGGGCTGAGAGACCGGCAGTGCTGGCCTTGCTGGCTGAGGGGGCGGCGCTTTCTTGTGGCGTCCGGAAGCAGAGCTGGAACGCTTAGGGAGGAAATGGCGCATAGCTTGCGACGCTTTCTGTGCCTCTGTGAAGCGCTCCGCGAAACCTTTTACCGCTGGGCAGAACAAACCGGTGGTGGAAACAGGGGAGTCGAGAAAGGCGGGCCTGTCCGCATCCTTCATCCCTGTTAAATTCAGCCAGAGGTGTCGCTCTAGCACCGTCAAGTTCGCCATGGTCCTACCAATCGCCTGGGCGGTTGTTTTGGTAGCGTGCAGAGCCAAGTCTGGCGCTGCACAGGTCTCTGAAAGCTGCCGGGTCAGGTCCAGACTCGTCCATAGAGCGGAGAAGTTTGGCCTGAAAGACCTGGAGGACAGCCATGGTGTGAAGCGCGAAGCAGCCTGGCCAGCGGAGGCGTAGGCTCGGCCAGCGAGAGCTGAAGTTGTGCGGCAAGGCTTTAGACGGGTGAGTCGCTTTAGCTTTCCATCCCGTAGCGGTGTGACATGCTCTCACACAGAGTTTTGAACGAAATCAATGTGATCATCAGTAATTTTGCCTTCAAAATCAGACCTGGCATACATTACAGTCAGTTCTGTTTTTACCCGGACAGATCAAATAGTGTGCCGTGACTCTGGGTTAAGCTGAATAAGGCTGAATAAGGGATTTTTTTCTGGTAGGTTTGAACCTGCTGGGTGTCGAGGAGGATGAACATTAAAGAAACATTAATTTGTGGGTTGAAAACTATTAAATCTACAGGATATATTTGAGTTTATTCAGTTTGCTACAGATGCGGTGAGCTAGCTCTGACGAATAGTAATAGTACACACTCTGACCATCCAATCAAAGGACGTGAAAATGCAGACGTTATTGTACGCCTGCTAGATGGCCCCGGTGCAGTCAAATCGAAATCTGATTGGCTGATTAAATCTGACTGATTATCTGATTGGTTAAAGCAACAGTTTCATCGCCATTCATTTAAGCTACAGGCGCCCGCACTATTGATTCTGAAGGCCTCAAGGCAGATTTCTTTGGCCATGGCAACACATGATGGCAGAAATATAATTGTATAAAAGCTCTAAAATAAATATACACTACTAGCAGCACAACCAAGAGAAAAGCTATGAAATTAAGAGAATGGACTATTGGGAATAATTTAATATTCATTCATGGAAAAAAAATATTAAAGTGCAAGTCAGTGATTCTGATAGTGTTTAGGCCAGCAGAGAAGGCCTTGCTGGCCCCGACGGCCCACCCTGGCCTGCAGTGATAGTTTACTAGTCAAATACTTGTAGCACTTTTTTTTATTTTTTAGTTTATGCAAGTACACTTTGAAGTATACTTTCTAAGTAAACTACTAGTTTAGTTTATACTACAAGTATACTTGTAAGCTTTAAGTGAACATAACATCAAACTTAGTTTACTATTTATATATTATTTTTGCATGTTAATACTCTGTTCCTATTTAGGCATTAATTTTTTATTCTTGAAATATACCTTTAACTGTATTTGAATGCTTTACATTTTAAAAACATTGTATTCTAGTTTCCTGCAACCCTTTTTATTAACAACTTTGAATTAAACGTTTTCTAAAAAAAAAAAAGCAACATTTTAAACAAAAAGCTGAGACTATTGCATTTTTGTCAAAAACTACGTCCGGACCGGATTCAGAACGATGATCAAAACATAAATGGAGTAGATTGAGTCCATCAACATCCCCAAAGCTTCACAGTTATTAACCCTTCCTTGGTCGACATTTCATTCTGTAACGTTAGGCAGTTTTGAACTTATGCTGTTGAATGTCTTTTTATCGTATTGTTTTACATTTGTGTAAGCAATCTTCACTTGTTTCTGCTTCTTCTTCACCTGTGTTTTGATCCGGAGAGATCCTGTACTATTTCAGAAGATGCGTAATAGCGCCCCCTACTGTATAACAGAGTTCTCTTGCAAAACTTTGCGTTCCCTCGCAAAACTTTTGTGTTCTCTCGAAAAGATACTTGCGTTCACTCTTAAAACCTTGTTGTGAGCTCGGACAAACACTTCCTGTTTAATGTCCCGCTGGCAGTGTTTCAGACAGCCCCAGTCCGTACATTACCAATGGAGCGGTTCATAGAGTTTGAACTTATATAAAGAAATGCAGTCAGTGCTTAGTTCAAGGAGTTCTCTCGTGACCCATTGCACAAAAGATTCTCTATTGTGGAAAAAGGTTCTTTACATTATCAAAATGTTCTTCTCACTAAGAAATTTATTTTATTTTAAGAACTGTTAATTAAAATGTTCTTTGGGGAACCCAGAATGGTTATTCTGTTGCATCGCTGCAAAACCCCCCTTTTGGAACCTATATTTTCAAAGGGGTAGACCAGCCATAGAAAATGGATATCACAATCCAAAACCCAGTTTTTTTCCAATCTAATTTCTCTGCAATTTTCCATGCATCCAAATGACTATGTTGCTCTTCATTCTGTGCATCCGATCACCTTTCACATGTTTACCATCTTTAACCTTTCATAGCAGAATCACCAGCCAGGTAACCCCACAGTTGGCCAGGTGAAGCGGCTCGTCTCTCAGGTGAATTGGGGAAGACTGCGGTATTCCCATCTGCGACCCATTCTCATTGAGCGACAGCCAGGAAGTCGTGGGAGTCGGGCTGTTCGAAAAGTAAGACACGATCAATTTAGGAATATCAGTTTTGTTTTTAGTTCGATTTAAATCTTGGACACAGTCACCTCTGATTTCAGAGTCTGTAAATGCATACATTTTCTGTACAGCTGCTTTGAAACGATATGTATTGTGAAAAGCACTATACAAATTAAATGTGAATTGAATTGAATCTCAGATCTAACCAAATATGCTATAATCTGATGTCTTCCATTTTCTGTGATCGTAGCACATCTTTTCTCAACTGGATTCTCTTTCAGCGGGCTGGTCTATAGATGTGGACTCCTTCATATCTGAAACCCCTCGTGGTCCTGTTAGCTTCTCTAATGTCCTGGCTGTTTTAGACCCGACGGCTCCTCGACGATTGCTTTTTGCTTGTCATTATGACTCCAAATTTATACCAACAAATCCAAGTGACCCACAGAAGGTGTTTGTGGGTGCTAGTGATTCAGCTGTTCCCTGTGCTATGATGCTGGAACTGGTCACAGCTTTGGATCCACACCTCAAAAAGCACAAGCAGATGGTGAGACAAAGTGTTACTCTTTTATCTCATTTTCAAGAAACCCGCTTTTAGAGGTCATTCATTTAAAACTAAATTTGTATACAGTGTATATATATATATAGCATTACTAGGTCATAAGTTCTTGCTGTCCTGAGATAAAGAGAGCGATACATGTCTCTGAGGAGGTCACTTAAGCTTTTTCCAGACTTGTGAATAGCCACAGTGCGGTAGAAATCAGAGTCAGTTCTGTTGTTTAACTTGTAACAGAGCCAAGAGCTTCAAAACACTGCATAACTGGAAAGGGTTTTGATAGAGAAGATCCTCACAAACCCTTACAAAACAGAAATATATGGAAATATACATATAAAGCAATATACCTTCCATAAATGGGAAACGAAGGCTTTTATTTTTATTTTTCAATATATTGCAGTATATGCATTGACCATGTATGGCTTTATTTTGATACATATAAAAAATTGACAAAAGAGACAAAAACTGCACTACAGTTTTACATGTAATAGCTTTATTGATTAATTTCTCTTTCATGAGTTAACGTATTGGTTTACATAAAGCTAAACACATATTCATAAACTTTTATCTCACTTTATTGTTTGCATTGTTACATATTTCATATATGGAAATATAAGAAAAATGTTTACTGCAAACAAATATTGAGAGGATGTTAGGACAATGGATGTCTTGTTAAAGTCATGGCAACATTGTGGGTGAATAAGATTTTACAAATATATAAATAAAAAATATGTATATATATATATATATTAACTATGTATATTTTACTCATGATCTTGTACATATATTGCACATACATGTTCCCATATAAATGTGAATATATAGTACATATATGCTCAAATATATTTATACACACATAGTACCATATTTTATCACATGTACAGTGCATGTATATGTTATGAAGTGTATTACTGAATATAAAATGACATACATTACAACAAATATATTGTAGTAAATATAATGTCAAACATTTGTCAGTATTATGAATAGCGGCAATTCCTTATGTATTATTCAATATATTAAGACATACTGTTCTGTATATTTTCAATATACATTAACAGGGAACCTACATAGCAGCTGTAGAATACATGGTTACTCGTCCATGGGGACTCGCTATTGATTTTTTTGCACAGCTTAGTATAATAAAGAAGCATCTTCCTCTACAGGCCAGGTGGAAGAAATTATTTTAATTTAATCTAAATCCTTAGCAAACAGAATCCCACTGCAACAAATGATTGAACCATGATTGAAAATTTGGGACATTTGATTGATTGATTACTTTTCAAGTTTTTTTGAAGTGTGTGTGTGTGTGTAGATGTCCAGGGTAACCCTGCAGTTGGTCTTCTTTGATGGAGGAGAGGCTTTCGATCAGTGGTCTCAGACAGACTCCCTATATGGTTCACGGCACCTCGCAGACTACATGTCCCGCACTCCTCACCCGCCGGGTTCTCAACAAACCACACTGCTGAACGCTGTGGTGAGACAAGATGCTTGTGTATGTGTGTGTGCATTTGTTTTTAAAGGGGTATGAAAATTGTTCTTCATTCACTAACTTTATGTCTTTCCAAACCTGTATAACTTTCTGTTTGTGGAACACAAAGAAACTGTTTTGAAACAAGTCAATGGGGTCCAAAATGCAGAAGAAGAAATAAATTCATACAGGTTTGGAACAACATGAGGGTGAATAAATAAGGACAAATTTTCTTTCTTGTTTGTCTCTTTAAGTGTCTATTGTATAAGAAGTATATAAATATATTGAGTTATTGCTGATATTTGCAGGATCTCCTTGTTCTTTTGGACCTTATCGGTTCCCCTGATCCCATGTTTGTGAATCACTTTGAGAACACAGCTCGCTGGTTTGACCGCCTTATCGCTGCTGGTAAGACTGATTTGACTTTCCATTAATGCTAAAGTAATCCCGGTTAATCATTAATGTCCATAAAGACACTTGAAACTAATGTTTGATCCGCAATGGCTTAAATTAGAGTAAAAACTACCAGCCACTTACTTCAAAAGGAAATACCATTTATTGACATGTCTATGTCTATATGTGAAGATATAAAAAAAACATTATCAGTGAAGTTCAGTGAAGAATGTACAATATTGAACAAGATAAAACAATGATCATGTCTTGATTGTTATGAAAATTATAATTATGAAATTTGGTCATAGACCCTATGATAGGTTGTTTATTTACACCATCTATATGGCCTTGTCCTTTAATCCCTCTAATTATATTTCTGCATTTTTGTAGAGAAAAGACTTCATAATTTAGGGCTCCTTACTTCTCATGCCAAAGAGCAGAGCTATTTCATTAAGGATTTGAACATGGGGCCGGTTGAAGATGATCATCTTCCTTTCCTTCAGAGAGGTAGGACAAAGCGTCCGTCATAGCAAAAAAAATTAAAATATGGCCAAAATATTGCTGTAAGATTGACTATACTGTATGGACCGTGCTTTTTTGAATGCAGGAGTTCCAGTGCTGCACATGATTGCTACGCCGTTCCCTTCCTTCCTGCACACGATGGAGGACACCGCAGAAAAGGTTCACAGTCCCACCGTGGACAATCTCACCAAAGTCCTCGTGGTCTTTCTGGCGGAATATCTGCGGCTCTAGGATGCTATAATATTACATCCAACCACATCCGTCGTGAATCAGTCTATACCTCAGCTGCACTGCTTTAGGATATCTGATATCACTGTACTCAGAGATGCATAACATACTGTATATTCTCAGGCTGCCGTCCTATATTCTGACATATGCTTACCATTGAAGTTTCTGCCAAGTTAATCAATCGGTATTGTGCCTTCAGATAGTTTTGCTATCTAGTAATGCACTGTATAGACACAATTATATTATTATCTGTGCCAAAAAAATGCGGTTTACAAAATTTGATTTATATGTTCAATAACTGTGCAATAAAATCAATAGACTGCAAAGTAGATACTTCAAGCTCAGGAATGGATGTGAACCTGATGCTATATGAGAAAGTATTACACTATGCACTACAATGAAGCTTGATAATGCTACAAAAATTCTGGTGAACTATATATATTTAGTCTTGCAATAATTTTCTCAGATGAGCAGTCTATAATCTCTCAATTTTCAATACATGTTAGTCTAGATTATTTAATTTTATAACAGAGATTGAAACTCAAATATTGACTTGAGGCTTGAGATGGCAAGCAATTGACTTGAGACTTGACTTGTACTCTAAATTAGAGACACTTCAGATCTACAACTTTTTTCTTGGAATAATGCAAAAAAAAAATAATAAAAGGGAATATTTAATTTAGTGGGCATTTACAGTAAGGAAAACATATCCAATCTCTTATGATCAATAAAGTACAGTAAATGGTATAAAAGACCAACTTACTTTATTTTAGATAGGCATTATTGTCCAAGAAAATCCCTAAAAAATACATTTATTTATTTTTAAATGAATTGTCCTGCTAAAAACTACCCTGTAGCATATACAAATCTATTAAAACAAATAATTTAAGACTTAGGACAGACTTGAGTCTTCATTTAAACTTGACCTTGAAAGACTTGAGACTTGCATTAATGAATTGAATATGTGATTATGTCTGTTTTATAATAATGAATAAATATATGTATTTTGCAGTTGCAAAGTTTCAACATGGACTTGCATAACTTGATATAGTCTGATCGTATAGTTTATATCTATAGACTACTGTATATATAAGATATAAAGGAGGAAGTGAGTCTCGGTCTCGACACGTCTCGTCCTTGTATTTGTGCAGTGTGTTGCAATCAGGTTGCAATACATCCTGGCCACTAGATGGCAGTGTATCGGGCACTTGCAGCGTGTCTTGTCGTCTCTGCATCAGTTAGGAAACAACATAGGTCATTTCGGCAAATTCAGTTACAGTGTCGTGTAAACGTTTTATAACTTAAAGCTGTGATGAGTCTGGGCGAAATCTTGCGCTGTCACTGACAAGGTAGAGTGTTGCTGTTATTATTTCCTTCCTGTTACTTTGAAATGTCCTGAAAAGAGTATAAATGTAACGTTACTTAACGTCAGATCTCAAGCAGTTTTAGCAATGTCCTAACATGTGTGACATGCAATAAATCTAAAACGATGTAAACATCACATTTTTTCAATTATTGTGTTATAATTAAAAGTTTATTTTAGAATAATAGGCCTACATATTTTAATACAAATACATTTTTGACATGACAAAAATAGTCCATGTTGTCAATTAATATATAAGATCATACTATCTTACCACATGTTTACAAACTTAAACATTAAACAGTCTTGTTAAAATAAGCTTTAGAAGAACTCTGTCTACAGGGCACTGCTTGAAATGTCACATAGATGTCACGTCAACTACCCATTTGCTGTACAACGTTTGGTATAGGGGTTTTCATTCAATCTTTTAGATACCATGGACCCCAAAATAAGACCATCCTCGTGCGAGGGACCCCAATTCTAAATTTTAAAAGAAAGCTACATACTCGTCATGTTTAAAGACTTAAATTTTTATTTATTATCGTGTAAAATATTTTTGGGAAAATGTTTAAGTAAAAAAAAAAAAAAAAACTTTATATACTAAAAATATTTTCATGATTTGTTATTGCAACTTTTTTTCTTTTGTCATATCAACTTAGATAATTAATGTGTTTCAGATAACATAATATTTTGAGTTTCTATTTATTAAACCAACCTCCATTGTATAAATTAAAATAATAATAATTTCAGTAAACTAAAGATTTTAAGGCTACCAGGTAACTTTTTAAGGAAAAAAAAGTTATTTAAATCAACATTTTATTTATTTAAACCCATTTTGTTATGACTCTCTTTTCTTTCTTTCTTTTTTTTTACCCAAAAGGGTTAATTATTACATGTTTTACATAGTTTTGCTCTCGCACTCTCTAGCGGTCCCCTGGAGGTACCCGGACCCCTGTTTGAAAACCCCTGTTGTACAGAACAAACTAAGCAGCCACACACATCTGATGTTTTGAAACATAATGCTTTTCATTTTGCAATGCAAAATGCAATCATTTGACAATCATAATGCAATATTTCATTGACAACATTACTACCCTTCGCAGGTTGAAGTCACCACTGTCAATCCCGTCAACAACGCTGTCAGTTTATTGTCTAGCACACTATGGTGCGCCACAGCAAGCTACAGAAACAGGTCTTATCTCTGTATCGGCAGTTTCTGCGCTCGGCACAGGACAAGCCGGGCTTCTTACCGAGAATACGTGATGAATTCCGTGCCAACTCTGCGATCAAGAAGACTGACGTCATGCACATAGAATATCTTTATCGGCGAGGCCAACGCCAACTTGAACTGCTTAAAGATGTAAACACTAAACAGCTTGGATCATTCAGCAAGTCTAAAGAGGACAGCTGACCACTCATATAGCCTAACAACCTATAGTCGGTCATATAATCAGTACTGTATTCAAATATTTTACAAAATATGACTCGAAAAGAACAAAATAGTTGTTTTGGGGAAATCACCTCCCTTATTTAAATGGAATATCCAAATGACTTTCACTTTTCTCAGGCTGGACAAGATTAACCCATTGCTGTTTTATTTTTATGGTGTTATTTATGTACATTAATTTGCAGATTAAACCCATATTATTTGGTGTTATGTCAGTATTCTACTTTTTTCCATTACTTCCTCTGACTTCAATTTCTTATAGTTACTTCTGCATACAACATTTCGTGTCTACTGGACGTATTATGTACTGTTAGACTCAATGTAACGGAGTGTTTAAGATCATATCTGATTCTTAAATGATTCACCACAAATACGCTTATTTTGTCTTTTGCTTACTGGTCACATTGCTAAATGCTGCTATAAATCCTCTGTCCTGTTAGATGTGTTACCAGTTATATTAATGTCTTTGGGTTCACATTATAAACGTAGAAAATGAACACAAAAGAAGATATTTTGAAGAATATGGGTAACCAAAAAGTTGATGGACCACATTGACTTCCATAGTATGGAAAAAAAATACTATGGAATTCAATGGTGTCCATCAACTGTTTGATTTCCGACATTCTTCAAAATATCTTTTGTTTTCAGCAACAGAAAGAGATTCATACAGGTTTGAAACAACATAAGGGTGAGTAAATGATTACAAAATCTTTTATTTTGGGGTGAACAATCCCTTTAAGTGGTTGTATGTTACATTCATAAAAAAATATTTATGGTTTTGGTCTGAATCTATTTATATCCTATAGTAAAAGATACATTCACTCAAAAGATTTACTTATATAACTTTTTTTTTCTAAATTAAGAATTACAATTTAATTCTAAAGAAGATTTTGGGTAGAATGGCAGCCAGTCACCGTTCGCCTGGACAGAATTGCTTTGACCCTGAATGGATACTGAGGCTGTCTGTCCCTAACATTCCTCTATATGTTTTCTCCGGACAAGTCTTGAAACACATGAGGATGGGTAAATGAAGACAGAATTTCAACTTTTGGATGAACTATAGGCTATATCCAGAGGATAGGTTGCTCTTTAAACAATGAACAACACATACTTGTTCTTTTATCTTTAAGTTATGACACAATATTTTTTTCTTTTCCTTATCTATCGAAGGCTAAAGAGGTTCAGATTAAAATGACTAATGACATTTATCCATGTAATGAGTTCCTGAGACAGCTTTAATTTGGATTGTAATGAGTGCGCATTTTGTAAAGTCGGACAGGGTAATTGGAACATTTGTTTTATTTTGAAATTATGTTTGTCATGTTTTGTATTTTAAAAGCATTAGGTAAAAATACTCAAGTAATGACTTGCCCGTCCATAAGTGGGCGCAAGTGCTAAAATAAATCTGATTTCATTGGAGGAAGAAGAACACGCTGCGGTGTAAACAGGAAGATCATGTTAGTTGTGTCACAAAAGCAAGGAACGGAATTTTAGCTGTAGTTCATAGTTTACTAATTAATTATCGCATGCATTTATAACATATTGAACTTCTCAACAACAACAACAACAAAAGTATGGCGGAGTCAAACGGGATGACAGATGCTCAGTTGATTCAGCAGGTGTGTCAAACGTCAATTCGGTCACATGCAGGTTTTCTGCCAAATATAAATTAATAATTAGCACTACAGAGATCCACAACCATGTTTTACTGTGGTATAAACTCAAATAATATATTGCATTCTAACCACAATGATGAGATGATTTGTGTTCGGGTTGCAGCTGGCTCTGCTGGGCTGGCTGAAGACCGACAGTGTACAGTGTAAAGATCTGCTCACTGCTGTCACTGGGATTCAGGTGGGCCGTGAGCTTCTGGACAGACTCTCTGGGCAAAGCCAGATAGATGCATACAGGGTAAGAATATTTTCTTTTTCTTTGGCGTCTTTACAAAAAACTAATGCATTTGTACTATATAGGCCTAGGGCAATTGTAACAAAATTTCTTCAGTCACAAACAAGCCAGAATGATGACACTTTTTTCCATGCCCAGTAGTTTTCTCTCTGCATGAGCACAAGTAGTGATATATAAGCCTATATTTTTTTTTAATGCTCAATGTTTTTCTTCTGCTGTCTAAAGTGTCGAGGCAGTGTGTTAGTTAAAGGTAGGGCAGGCATTTTTTCGGAGAGACAAGCTATCTTTGAAAGCATATGATCCCACCTCCTTAAAAACACATGAACGCACACAGCAGAGTCTGCAAAGCCTTAGCCTATATATATATATATATATATATATATATATATATATATATATATATATACTTATCCACCAAACCCACTACATCCCTCCCTCCCACTTCCCTATCAAACTGCCTTCAGGAAATCAGATCCTGGTTCTCGCTAAACTTTCTCAAGCTTAATACTGACAAAACTGAACTCCTCCTTATTGGCACCAAATCCATCTTCTCTAAAATAAACGACTTCTCCATCTCCATCGATAATTCTTCTGTGTTTCCCTCCCCTCATGTTAAGAGTCTGGGTGTCATCCTAGATAGCACTCTGTCATTTCAGTCCCACATTAATAATATCACTCGGTCAGCATATTTCCATTTACGTAAAATCTCTAGCTTACGTCCAACTATCTCCGCCAACAGTGCTGAAATTCTGGTTCACACCCTGGTTACCTCCCGCTTAGATTGCAACTCTCTCCTCTATGGACTACATGACAAATCCATTCATAAATTACAACTAGTCCAAAACTCTGCTGCCCGTATCATTACCAGAACCCCCAGTCACATAACACCTGTCCTGCAGCAACTTCATTGGCTTCCCTTTAAATATCGCATAATTTATCAAATTCTTCTCCTTACATTTAAAGCTATCAATAATCTTGCTCCTAAGTATCTCACTGAGCTACTTCATATCAAGATACCCACCCGTTCTCTCAGGTCCTCTTCTTCCATTCAGCTCATCCTTCCACATGCTCGTCTGGTTACCATGGGGTTTAGAGCTTTCAGTCATTCAGCCCCATATCTTTGGAACTCTCTGCCCCACTACATTCAACACTCCACATCCATAATAACTTTTTAAACTCACTTAAAAACTTTTCGGTAACGCTTCATTTTACAGTCCTGTTACCCATGTACTTACTATGTACTTATTATAGTAATTATAATTACTGGGTAATAACTAGGTACTAACCCTGAACCTACCCCTAAACCTACCCCTAACCCATGTACTTACCTTATATTAGCCAGTACTTTCTAGGTACCGGTAAGTACACTGTAAGTACTGTACTGTAAAAGGAAGCGTTACCAACTTTTCTTTTTAGACAGGCATACTCTCTTTAACTTTAATATTGTTTTGACTGTAAGGATCTTATCCTTTCTCCTGTTCTTTCTAATTGTATTTTATGTTATTATATTGCCTGCTTTCACTGTTAAAATTTTTATTGGATTGAGTGTTTTATTGTTGATTTTTTAAGGTGACCTTGAGTGTTGAGAAAGGCGCCTATAAATAAAATACATTATTATTATTATTATATATATATACAGTGAGGAAAATAAGTATTTGAACACCCTGCTATTTTGCAAGTTCTCCCACTTAGAAATAATGGAGGGGTCTGAAATTGTCATCGTAGGTGCATGTCCACTGTGAGAGACATAATCTAAAAAAAAAATCCAGAAATCACAATGTATGATTTTTTAACTATTTATTTGTATGATACAGCTGCAAATAAGTATTTGAACACCTGAGAAAAATCAATGTTAATATTTGGTACAGTAGCCTTTGTTTGCAATTACAGAGGTCAAACGTTTCCTGTAGTTTTTCACCAGGTTTGCACACACTGCAGGAGGGATTTTGGCCCACTCATCCACACAGATCTTTTCTAGATCAGTCAGGTTTCTGGGCTGTCGCTGAGAAACACGGAGTTTGAGCTCCCTCCAAAGATTCTCTATTGGGTTTAGGTCTGGAGACTGGCTAGGCCACGCCAGAACCTTGATATGCTTCTTACAGAGCCACTCCTTGGTTATCCTGGCTGTGTGCTTCGGGTCATTGTCATGTTGGAAGACCCAGCCTCGACCCATCTTCAATGCTCTAACTGAGGGTAGGAGGTTGTTCCCCGAAATCTCGCAATACATGGCCCTGGTCATCCTCTCCTTAATACAGTGCAGTCATACAGTGCAGTCGCCCTGTCCCATGTGCAGAACAGGGCATGATGCTACCACCCCCATGCTTCACAGTACGGATGGTGTTCTTGGGATGGTACTCATCATTCTTCTTCCTCCAAACACGGCGAGTGGAATTATGACCAAAAAGTTCTATTTTGGTCTCATCTGACCACATGACTTTCTCCCATGACTCCTCTGGATCATCCAAATGGTCATTGGCAAACTTAAGACAGGACTTGACATGTGCTGGTTTAAGCAGGGGAACCTTCCGAGCCATGCATGATTTCAAACCATGACGTCTTAGTGTATTACCAACAGTAACCTTGGAAACGGTGGTCCCAGCTCTTTTCAGGTCATTGACCAGCTCCTCCCGTGTAGTTCTGGGCTGATTTCTCACCTTTCTTAGTATCATTGAGACCCCACGAGGTGAGATCTTGCATGAAGCCCCAGTCCGAGGGAGATTGACAGTCATGTTTAGCTTCTTCCATTTTCTAATGATTGCTCCAACAATGGACCTTTTTTCACCAAGCTGCTTGGCAATTTCCCCATAGCCCTTTCCAGCCTTGTGGAGGTGTACAATTTTGTCTCTAGTGTCTTTGGACAGCTCTTTGGTCTTGGCCATGTTAGTAGTTGGATTCTTACTGATTGTATGGGGTGGACAGGTGTCTTTATGAAGCTAACGACCTCAAACAGGTGCATCTAATTTAGGATAATAAATGGAGTGGAGGTGGACATTTTAAAGGCAGATTAACAGGTCTTTGAGGGTCAGAATTCTAGCTGATAGACAGGTGTTCAAATACTTATTTGCAGCTGTATCATACAAATAAATAGTTAAAAAAATCATATATTGTGATTTCTGGATATTTTTTTTTAGATTATGTCTCACAGTCTACGATGAAAATTTCAGAACCCTCCATGATTTCTAAGTGGGAGAACTTGCAAAATAGCAGGGTGTTCAAATACTTATTTTCCCCACTGTATGTGTATATATATATATAATATGTGTATATGTTGAGTAAAGAAATGAAATTATGAAATTGGTTGT